TTTAGGGTTTAGGGGAGAACATGAAAGCTGAAACGAGATTTGGGGTCACCTCCCTAGAGCCTACGGCAGGGGCCTCTCTTCGGATCACTATTTTGGTTACTATAAAAAGGGATCAATCTTGAACTTCGTGGCTTCGGGCTGTTGGGATGATTACTAAACCCTAAACCCTAAACCCTAAACCCTAAACCCTAAACCCTAAACCCTAAACCCTTCTTGAGCTTTAGGGTCTGTGGCTCGGGGCTCTCTCGGGGTTCGGCGTTCAGGGCTGCAGGGGCGGAAGGGGATTGAGTCGGTTTGAGCGCTTTTGGGGTTCAGGGAGTTGGGGGCTTCAGGGCTTTAGGGGGGGTTGTGAGGGTTTGGGGCTTTAGGGGTTCTAGGCTTTAGGGGGTTGTGGGGGGTTTCAGGGCTTTCAGACTTCAGGATGCTTGCCACCAACACCAATGACACCCGCCAGGAAAAGCAAACCTTTTTGTTGGATACCTGTTGTGGACATAATAAGGATATCCTAATTCGGAGCCCGACCAAAAATTGGGCTTTTCGACAGCAGTTCAGGGCTACAGCTTGCGGGGTTTAGGGCCTAGCGCCTGTTCTTGCCATGGGCGGTGCTGCTGCAAGTAGACGTGGCATTGCTGTGACGGTCAGTTTCCCCCTGCTTCATTTGTCACGCGAACACCCTGCACCAGCCCGGAATCACGGAAGAGTACGTGAACGTACGTAAACCCTAGACTCCGGGCCCTAGACCCTAAACCCTAAACTCCCTAAACCCTAAACCCTAAACTCCCTACTCCCTAGACCCTAAACTCCCTAAACCCTAAACCCATCTAGTTACAACCCTTCAGGCCCTCGCAGCCCTGAACCCCAAACCCGCTAAAGGAAGCCTCGGCGGACACTTTGCCTCGCTTTGAGGGTTTGGGGAGAACAGCATAGCGTAACTCCGATATGGGACTTTCCGAAAATAGGGGGTACCTTATTCTGGGGTCCTTACAATAAGGATCCTATTATTTAGGGTACTATATCAGGGTCCCCTATTTTCGGAAACCCCCATATTACAGCAGTACACCATGCAAGGTAATGAGCACAACCCTACGAGAATTCGCCGGAATGTTTGAGAGCCTTGAGAGAATACTCATGAGTCGACGGCTGCGCAGAAATGCCAAAGAAAAACACTACACCCCTCAACATGACCCTAAACCCTAAAGCTCCAGCTTGCACTAACCTAAACCATCCCAAACGCGACCGAAGAGTGCCTCGCAATCTTGACCTCGGCTTTTGGGCTGTTGCGCTTAAGGCTCTGGGGTCCGGGCTGGGTTTTCAGAGTTTGGCTCTAGGGCTGAGGGCTTGGGGTTTCGGAGGTTTTGGTGTGCAGCGGTGTAAACTGAAGGGGTCAGAGCTGGATCTAAGGGTTCCGGCATAGGCCCTGGGGTTCATGATGATCATCCTCGCCATTCATCGTGCTGCCGAAGCTCATGACAAAGGTCTGTGGGGACAATGAGGCGCAGGACTGTGTCAGCAGTCGTGGTGAAGGATGAGAAACGTGATGCGGTAATATTGCTGGCGATGATGGCAATGACCATAAGATCGAAACCTGCAAGCCAAACCCGCTATCCACTCTATCCTACCACACGGACAGCAGACAACTCGGGACCCGTAGCTTAATCCAGATGTAGTGTCAGGGCCTATCTTCAAGTGAGCCCCCATAGCCCTATGCTGGAAGTCCTTCACCAGGAGACTCTAAGGCCCTCGACCACTCAAGCCCCCGAAACTTTGAGCTCTAAAGACCGTGTTAGTAGGACGAGTAGAACCCTGACAGAAACCCCCGGTAGTAAACCTCATAGCCACCGGTAAACGCGAAGGAGCCCTTGAAGCAACCCGTGTGGTACCCCCTGCAACACTTGCAGTAACCCTCGTGGTACACCTTAACAAACCCTTAGAGTAACCCTAACGATAACAATGCCCCGCGTTTTTGGACAGGCTGCTGATGAACTCAACGAGCACGGAGACCTTCCGCGCAAGCATCGCGTATGGTTAGGGTGTATTGAAAGGATTCCACACGGTTGCAATTGAAATCTTGTGATCTTAACCCCAGCCTTAAACCCCACTTTTCTCACCATAACTATTTGAGGAAGTTGTCGGTTTTGCTGCCGTACCTGGTTCTGGGACCGT